AGGAGAGTGGAAACGTGCAGTCAAAAATAGCGACCCCGTATAGATACGGGAAAAGCTACAGAAGAAGAAGAAGTTATATTCCTACTTTCATCTGTTTCTCTGTCATGCTTATTAACTTAGAATATGAAGTTTTGTAAGAAAGACACAAGCAGTGTTTGTTTAAACCCGTGACTTTAAATTCTTAATAAACTTAATGAAATGAGTGTGACAAAAATCGCATGAAATGTAACATTGTATTTCTACAACAGGTCAGTTAGCTTACGATGAGATTCAAATCTAGTTTAACCACATTTCTGTGAATTGGTTCAATGTAGATTTCAATGTTAAAAAGGCATATACATTTTTATATCTATCTTTTGGCACTAACCATCACTAAGGAGGCCTTGAAATCAATTCCAAGACCAACTGGATGGACTATACCCGTGAAAACAATAGTCCATTTGAAACTATTGTGTTGTTTCAAGAAACTGAACTCTGATTTTAAATTAGCAAAGAACTGTTTAAAAAAAATCTGTAAAAAAATTTGCTCCCAAATCTGATTTAATGACTGTTGTTGGAACTATTGGGTTTGAATACGTTACTCAGATTTCAAATCTGCAGTCAAACCTGATTTCACCACTGTTGTTAATCATATTGAGTTTGAATACTTTACTCAGATCTTAAATCTGCAAAGGACTGTTTAAAAAAATACCTTCAGCTAAACCTAATTTTAACCACTGTTGTTAAGCCTATTGAGTTTTAATACTTTGCTAAGATTTTAAATCTGCAAAGGACTGTTTAGAAATATACCTTCAGCTAAACCTAATTTTAACCACTGTTGTTAAGCCTATTGAGTTTTAATACTTTGCTAAGATTTTAAATCTGCAAAGGACTGTTTAAAAAAATACCTTCAGCAAAACCTAATTTTAACAACTGTTGTTAAGCCTATTGAATTTCAACGCTTTGCCAGCTCTGGTTTTTAATTAAATAATAAGACTACATAGCTTGAGTTTACAGTATACTAGTGTTTAAAACAGAACTTTAAACCAGAATGTAAAATAGATCAAGGTAATAATTACTGGACTGATTTAGAATGGCTTGAGTAACCATGCTCAGTAGGTAGTGATTAGAGATTCGCTGGTATTGAAGTGTTTAGTGTTTTCTAGACTTAAAAAATGTTATCATGTACGATTTGAATGAAATTTTTACGAAAGTTTACCTGACATTAGGCTGAACACTTTTTAAGTATGAATGATTCATTTTTAGACTATAGTACATTTTTAATCATGAGAAACATTACTCCAAAATTAAATCTGTTTTTGATATATTTTAACCTTATATTGAACAAGTTAATATGTTCTTTAGAAACACAGACGGCGGCCTTCTGCAAAAGGAACTGAGTCGGTTCCTCCACCCAAGAAAGTCTTAACTAGACATCCCCTAACAGTCCGCATTATGGTTTCTACCAGTGGTAAGCAGGATTAGTGATAGATGTTATCTCTCATTAAATTTATTCTGTTTTAATGTAGTTTCTTGGACATTGGGGAATATTTTATAGAAATTTATTGTATCGAGTGTTCTAGTTTTGGATGATGCTAGTCAGGTTGTATTTTTCTTTCATATAAGGAAATTTAGGCACAAACAGTAATATGAAGCATTTATCAAGTCATGCTAAGAATGACAATTCTTCCCTTTGTAATACACTAGTCATATTTTGTTTGCATAATCTTTAGAATCTTACTTGAGAGATGGTTTAGACTGAAGAGAGTATGCATGAAAGTTTTTGTTAATGAATTGCATCTCATGATCTGTCTAGGAATGAAGTTTCACGTGATGACGAGCTGTGCTAGCAGTTTGAAACATCATTCAAAAACACTTCCTAGACAGATGGAGTTAATTAAAAACCTTTCAAGTAACATGTAGAACCTCCCAAATGAATAAAAACTTCCTAGACAGTCACTACCTATACATGAATACAACTGTTTGTGTTGAAAGTTATATAGCAGTAACTACCTATACATGAATACAACTGTTTGTG